GATTGCTACAGTCAACTGTGACTTCTCCTGACCATGGTGACTGGCTTACTCCTCCTCTCACTGACTCCTTATCTCCTCTACAGGCCACCTCTCAGCGAAGACCCTCCAACTCAATCTCCCTGTGCCAGCGAAGGCCACCTAGAAAGGTCCCGGCTATTTGCCAGTTAGTGATTTTCCATTTTGATGACTATATACCATTGCACACATGTACCATGAATCAGAGAAGATATAGATTTTCCTTTTGCCTTCCTAAGCTGTTTGTCTTTATAGCCAATAGCACTGCTATTACTTCAGTGTGTTGTACTGATTTGGCAGCTCCTTCTTCAGTGATAGCCAATCTACAGGCTCCTCAGCTTTCCATTCAGTTTTGGTTGTAGCAGCAGTTGATGAGCCATCAGCAAACCATGCATTACCCAAATGCTGTGACCCCTGCCATTGGTCCCCACAGTCCAATAGGTGCCTTTTCTGGGAGAGGGGTGAGAAGTTTAGGGATGGGAATTATAGCCAACTGAGCTGTTTCCTCAGTGAGAGAAGACACAGACCCCTCTGCTACCACATTCTGCTCATGAAGGAATTCAGATATGTACCATTTCTGTGGGGAGCCATGACTCCAGCGGCCTGCTTTGATATTTAAATCTCGGTGGAGAGATGGCTTTTAGGAGGCCTTTACTAATGGCAGAGAAGAACTTGCAAGTCCATCTCCTTTTGTTTGTGACAGCAGGTGGGATAGCTTGTGAGGGTCACACCTCTTCCTCAGGCTCCTTGTGCAAATTAACCTATTGTTCTGAGATGTTTTACTGGCTAAAAGTAACTCCTGACAATAAAAGAGGTCAGAGGGCTGGAGGCAGAGGAGGAGGCTGAGACTTGAGACTTGCTGCTTGTGCTGCAGCCTGCCTTTTGCTGTGGCTGTCGAGTCTGGACCTTTAAAAAGTTTCCTGTGTGCTGTGTGTTTACTTTATTAATATTAATCCTCACTCCCGACTCAAGAACTGTTCGACTCTGCTGGCTGGCTCTGGCACATTTCCATTGTGATACCTCTCGTTCCACGGCTAAGCCTGCAAAGAACTCTGCCTTTTAGGGGACCAATTCCTCATTGGGATGTTTGCCCTTATGACCATAGGTTAGTTGGCAATGACTGAGTATAGAGTTCTGCGTGCCTCATAAAATGTCCAGATTTATTTCCCAAAGAGAGAGTATTTACTCTTTGTATATGGGAAGCACTTGGAATAGAAGACAACAGGCAAATGTTTTTTGGGGTGGGTTTTTTGTTTTTGTTTTGTTTTGTTTTTTTTCTGATTTTTCTTTTTTCTTTAAAGATTTTATTTATTTAATGGAAATGCGTGCTTTGTCTGCATTTTTACCTGCAAGCTAGAAGAGGGCATCAGATTCCAATGTAGATGGTTATAAGCCTCCATACAGTTGCTGGGAATTGAGCTCAGAACCTCTGGAAGAGCAGACAGTGCTCTTAACTGCTGAACCATTTCTCTGGCCCCTTTTCTTTGGTTTTTCAGGACAGGGTTTCTTTCTATAAGAGAGCCCTGGCTGTCTTGGACTTGCTTTGTAAACCAGGCTGGCCTCGAACTCACAAAGATCTACCTGCTTCTGTCTCCCTAGTGCTGGGACTAAAGGCCTGTGCCACCATGCACAGAAAGGCCACACTTCCTAATCCTTCCCAAACAGTTACACCAACTGGTAACCAAGCATTAAAATATACAAACCTATGGGGGTCAATCTCACTTAAACCATTCCACTCATTATATATTAGGTCTTTTCCCTGCTAAGATGTCAAAGTACCTTGATTATGCTGTTTTCTGTTTTTATTTACCATTGAGTCCATTAATCAAAACGATAGTGTTCATGTGCACAATTTAATGAAATTAAGCTGTGCTCTATCTAAATTAACATGTAAAAATATAAACCTCAAAGTAAGAATATTAAGACACAGGGCTTTTTAGTACTTATCATGTGACGATCTCTCCAAATTCAATAATGGAATTGTTGCCTATATATTCCTTCAGCTTCAGGTGGTATTTTAAACCATGTGAGGACACATATAAGTACCATCCCTGAGGCAGGTATACAGACTTCGGAATGTTAAGAGTCATCTGAATCTGTCTGGTTCAACTGGTCAGTCTACAGAGCTATGAGTATTATTTAGGCCTTTATGTAATTATTTAGTCAATGATACTTTATTACAGCATCCCTCATATTCTAAGACACAACATGTTTTTGCCTTCTTTCATGATACTATGTAAAATAAATAAAGAGTAGATGTACAGCAGAATGATGGGTTTTATAAATTGTTAATCATTGCTATCAATCAATCTAATTTAACTGCAATTTATACCAACAATGTGGCAGATTTTTTTCACTTTCTCCAAAATATTTATTTGGGATGCACTGTGAATGAGGAATGCTAAAACTGTACTGATAATTTTACTTTCTTCATAAGATATGGATCAGCTCACGATGTTTCCAAATGATCAGTATGCCAACATGGAGCCAAATCACTGCCTCCAGAAAAAAATGATGTTTCTGGCTTATGAAATGCTTAGAGATGGCCCTAACTTTCATGCCCCATTCGTCTCTTGTTCTTGGAGTGTTTGTGGAGCACTAAGACACTCCAATTGTGAAAGCCAGTAACAGGACTCTCAGCTACATTCTACTCATCTCCCTCATATTTTGCTTTCTCTGTTCCCTGTTCCCAGCATGGCCACCTGTATCCTTTGGAGTTCTGTCCATTGTAGTTCTTTCCCCTGTATTGGCCAAAACCATTATTGTGGTTCTAGCTTTCCATTTCACTTACCCAGGAAGGCATGCTAATGTCAGGAGCCCATAAATTCATCATTTCCTTCTGTGTAGTGATCCAACTTACTATCTATGGAATATGGTTAGGAACATCTCCTCCTTTTGTTGGCACAGATGTGTATTCTCAACATGACCACATCTTCATGTGTACAACAAGGACTCAATCAGTGTTCTGGGATACCTGGCTCTCTGGTGCTAGGAAACTTCACTGTGGCTTTCTTGGAGTGAAATATACCTGAGACAGTCAAGAAAGTCAAGTTCTTGAGCTTAGCTTGTATTCTGCAGCGCCTGGGGAACTTCCTCCCTTTCTACCAGAGCACTAAGTGGAGGTCCTGGCTACAGTGGAGTTCTAACACAGGGCTACTACTGTGTGCATTTCCCCCCAAATGCCACATTATTTGCTAACACCAGATAGAAACTCTCTTTATAAGTTCAAAGATAAGGCATGTTCACGAATCCTGGTGTTTATTTTAAAAGTTAAGTCATATGTGAACTTACTACAGACTTGAAAACAGCACTGCACTATTATAACAAAAATTAGGTTATAGTATACTGTTTATTTCCATGGACAAATCACTTATGTGCTCTCTAATGATATTGTATATCTGTATGAAGATGTTTATCAATATGATTGTCTCTGTTCACTCCTTTTGTCTGTTACCCATCAATTTATTTAACATTAGCCTGCTGAGTAGGCAGGCTAACACTGAGTAGACTGAATGGAGTAAAAGTTATTTTTCTCCCTTTAATGTACAATGGTGTTGGAAATAAGTGAAATACCTGTCTTTGAGAACTTCGTGGAAAAGTCAGAATTCACTTCAGTTGAGTACAGAAAGTTTGAGATGCAGTCTGTGAGAAAGGCTGTCCCTTCCATTCTCTCCAAATTACTTTTTTAAGCTAAGTCTATGACAATTTATCCCCTGGAAAAGAATTACAGTGGACTCATAAAGCATTAATATGTGTTATTTAAATAATTGCAACATAGCTGTAGAAAGGGGAGCTTGATAAACGGGTAGGAAGGAAACTATCTCACATTAGTGGATGACTCAGCAAGGCCCTCAGGTTGGAAGCCCTTCTGAAGGGAACACTCAGGTTAACAGAGTTCATAAACCCTACTGAGGAAGCAGAGTGTAAGAAAAAAAAACAATGTTAGTTAAACTGTGCAGCTATGAAATTCATGTAGAAATGGAGGCTCCATTACATCTTTCGTGATGCTACTGTTTAATCTATATTTAAAATCTCTTTTTAAACCTCAGTCTTGCTTCATACAGACTTAGCCTAAAAATGTTTTCTGCAGCGAAGTGTGGGTGTTTCCTGGCTTCACCTGAATGGAGATCTCTGAAACAATCCCTCCAGCAGGTGATAAACACCTCCTGCTCCCCCCTTTCCCCTCCCGCACCCCGGAAAATTCATTTGTTCTCTGAAGGAATGGACTGTCTCCGTGGGACACTAGGCGTGGGATTTCCTGTGCCCACTTATGCCTTCATCTCCAGGGATCAGCAACCAGAAAGGTCCACTGAATACAGGTAGAAGCCGATTCTCTCTCAGAGAAAGTCAGGAGCAAATTCTGCTTTAAAGGTATTTATCTACCAAATTGGGCTGGTCTTCAACAAGAAAAGAAACCTAGCTAGAAAGGGATGTGCTTACAATGTGTCGTGTGGCTCTCCTCCGTCGGGAGGCTGTTACTCTTGTTACTCAATGTCTGGGCACTATTCAAAAGGAAGAAGACCAGATGAGCTGTCCAATCAGGACAGCCGGAGAGCAGAACGGAAGTTCCTCACCCGCCATCCTCTTTTCTGGAGCAGGGAAGTCGCAGGATTGCTTTGTGGTGGCAGCAGAAGTAGTAGGGGTCGCTCAGCCTCTGGAGCAGTAGGCCCATCAACGCCAGGAGCAATGGGGAGGGCCGTCGGGTGGGCCGAGCGGTCGGAGCCGGGGTGCCGGCAGGGGAGCGGAAGCCACTCGCCCGCCATCTTTCTTCAAGGTGCCACTACAGCTGCAGGTCTGTTCTCCGTGGCCATGTGACACCGAGCCGCAGGGACAGTTTCTGAAGCCTCAGGAAGGCGCGGTGCAGAGTTGGCGTTCGCTGCGGCGCATGCGTGCGCTACCCCGTGAGGGGCGGCCGCGAGCACAGCGTAAGCTTCTCCGCCGTCCCTCACGGCGCCGCCCGCGTCGCGGTGCGGCAGGTCGGCTGAGGGAGCCGGCGTGACAGCCTCGGTGACGCTGTTCGGGCGAGCGCAGCAGGCCTGGGCGCAGACATGGTGAGTGCCGAGGGAGAGGCGGGAGGAGCCGCACCTCTGCTCAGGTGACGGGGCTCCTGCTGCGCGGGGGCACGGAGCCGAGGGCCGCAGACCCCGGGAGAGGGGCCCGCGAGTGCCTCGGAAGGTCTCCAGAAGCAACGGCTAAAGTCTACGAGTTTGTCTCCCATCCTGGTGCTTCTTAGGCCTCAACGTCCCCAAATTTCTAGTTATTTACTGCTTGTCAAACTCATTAAAAGAGGATATCCACGTACACCTGTCGTTGGGGCTGGAGCGGACGAGGGAATTTGAGGCCCTCTATGAGGTAATACGTGTTTTTGTTCTCGAAATGCTGAGCACACTGATTTAAAGTAGAATGAAGGACGAGGGAGGACACGACTTTTAATTCAAAGGATAATTGCAATCGCGGGGATGTGCACGCTTCTCGGAGGTTGGGCAGAAAAGGCATTTTGTTTTTAAGGAGGAACGACAGTTTTTGAGACTATGAGACTGTAGCATTTGCAGCTCTTAAACAGTTTCCTCTAAGGTCACATTGTCCTTAGAATGACAGTAAATTAAGGGTCCTGTGCTGGCTCAGGAGGAGAGTAGGAAGAAAAGTGACAAGACTGAAAGGGGGAGAAACTTAAGGAAACATCGCTTAGAAAGTATTTCGTTTTTACTGAAGAGATCATCATTTTGAGGCAAAAGTGGGTCTTTGGTTAGTTTGTGTCCTGCTGGGTAATCAGCTTATAAAAAATGGATAGGTATTTTAAATGTCACCATCTAAGAGCAAGGAGAAAGATGGAAGGCCTGTAGGCGGTGCTGTTTGCCAAGAGGGAGATGAAAGAATTGAAATGTCTTGTCCCCTGAGTTCTGGAGTGATATATCGCGTGCGTGTGTAGTGAGATGGTCTCTAAGCTTAGGGACAGTTTAGCCTGAGTCTCGGTTCCTTTGTGAACTGAGGGAAGCAGGCATTACGAGTTTTGTTTATTTTTTTCTTAATTTTATTTTACATGCATTAGTGTGAAGGTGTCAGGTCCCTTGGAATTTGTGTTATAGACAGTTGTGGGTGCTGGGAATTGAACCCGGGTGCTTTGGAAGAGCAGACAGTACTCTTAATCACTGAGCCATCTCTCCAGCCCCGCTTTCTGGTTTTTTAATGAATGGACTAAGACCTAACCTTTTCTTTTCTTTTCTTTTCTTTTCTTTTCTTTTCTTTTCTTTTCTTTTCT